TAGATAGATAGATAGATAGATAGATAGATAGATAGATAGATAGGTAGATAGAGATAGATAGGACAGATAAAACGTGTGAAAAGGAATACACGACGTCGTTCGAGGGCTCGTGTACGATATATTCGCGTTCGTCGCGTTCGGTGGTGGATAAAGAAGAGGAAGAGTGTCGACTGCGTCGATCTACGATCGGGAGTGGGAGAAGAACGTATCGAGTTCGCGGGAGGGACACGAACGATGTTATCGTTCCTCTTCGTCGCGCGTTTCTTCGACCCCCGATGACCAGTGCTCGCTCTCGGTGTAACCGATTAACAGACTCTCGCGAGTGTCTATCGATTAAATCTTCGTTCGAAGGTTGAAGGAGGAAGTGGTGTAAAGCATTTGCGAAAGAAAGGAACGAAGGGGAAAGAAAGTGACGAGAGGAGAGAGGACAGAGTCAAAGAGAAGAAGATCCTTCAAGTTAAGATAAAGGATTCAAACAAAAAAAGAAAAAAAGAGAAGAAGAAGAGGATAGAAAATTGGTGACAATTGTGAGTGGTCGCGGCGGTGAGTGCGTGACAAGAGAAAGAGAGAGAGAGAGAAAGAGCGAGCAAGCGAGATAGAGCGAGAAAGAGAGGGAGAGAAAGAGAAAACGAGATAGAGAAAGAGACAGTGTGTGTGTGTGTTCGTGTGTGCGTGTGTGCTCTAAACAGAGCGTATTGCAAAGGAGTAGCATCGAGGACGGGGGGTCCACAGCGACATTGGGGGGGCGTGTGAGACTGATTTTGCCCCCCCTACCCCCTGTCTGTCATCCGAAACTGTGACTTCATCGTCGTTAAAGTCAATTTCTCGTCGGCGTTACAACGTTGCCGTTTAGGTGAGTCACATTCCACGAATTCTCTTCTTTCGCGCGTACGCTACCCGTACGCTACCGTTCGCCAAGTATCCGTACTCTTGCCTTCAAACATTTCAAAAACATTCTCGTCGCGCGTAATTGCGACGATTACAAATGAGAAGATGTAATTTTTT